CCTTACATGACACGTTTTTCTGGATAATTACGACATCTGAATTGCCTGCGGAACTGACCTTTTCACATATCAATACTTTTGAAATACTATCATCAAGAAGTTGTCCAAAATCTTTCCGGTTACCTTGTAATGTAACGATGTGGTGTTAAAAGTGCCGCTGGGTATTGTTACCTACCTAAGCATTTCTTTAGGTAGATAATGAGTATGAAGACGTTATACTCGTACATGCCTACATTTAGGCTACATATTGAAAGATTAAAATGTAATGAAAACCAAGCTATCTACTTGACCAACACTTATGAATGGGTAGTATCCACCAACATTCAATAACCAACAAATGTTCTGCTTTCAAACTAGCTATACACCTTCTAGAAAGGGGCTGGTAAAAGGATATAATCTCTTTCAATGCTCCAATAGATACGTTAATCCATTCAACCCTACTTACCTTAACTCCATACACGGGGATATTTAGTTCTACTCCCTATGTGTATCGATAAATAGACCAGAGAGGTTCTGGTTGCCATAGATACCAACATTTCACTGATCCTTTCATTTAGTTGGACATTGCATTACTGACATATGCCAAACAATCGGTCAGCTAGATAATGGGATTTCCACGCATGGCTTGGCAAGCCTCAAATAACAACAAATAATTTCGTCGATGGCTTTCTCCGATTAAAGTCCCCGTCTAAAGTTTGAAAATATTTTTTATCATTCATTTACTTTTTGTCATGAGTTAAAAAGTTATTTGAGAGATTTTTGAAAAAAAAAATTGGGAAAAAAAGTTGTGAGCATTTCATTTCTCAAATATTCAAATTTCCCGCCATTTTTCAAAAAAAAATCATCAAATATTTCTTAATGCATTTCAAAAAGATTATCTTTTTAACACCAATGCAAAGATTGAACAAAGGACACACTATTTCAATAATAAAATGCCATATTTAATGGGCCACTTCAATGTTTTAGCATATCAAAAATATTTTGAAACATTAGTGATGTCACTAAGGTAGCAAAAACTTTTTGAAAAAATTGAAATTTTATTTTCGATGTCAATCTTTTCTAAATATGCTAGACTTCAATAATAAACGAATGTTGATTGTCTAACCAGGTTAAAAAGAAGAATATATTATGCTATAGATATCATTGAACCATTTTCATGCACTGATAAGATCATTTCTCGCTTATTTATGAACCGATTTTCTTAATTTCTTTGGCAAAAAACATGCGAGGATGAATATTATGCATTGAAATAAATTGTGGCTAATTACAAGATATGTGTGACCTCTAAAAGTTAGTTTTAAATAAATTGACAAATTTTGGAACAAAAAGTCTATCAAAAACCACTTTTTGAAATTTAAAAAAATGTTTCACATATCACACTTTGATAACATTGGGTAAGACTACAATATAAGCCAAAGTGGTTTAAACTTTATATGGGGACTTTAAGCATTAAGCGGAGCGTATACGTTTAATAATATTTTCATTCCATACTATAAAATTTAGAGTAAATGCTGAATTACAGACTTTCTCTGTCACACAATAATACATTTGTGTGTACTGTCGGATCATTGAATAACGTATATTGTCATATCACTGTCTAGCTTGCAATTGTATAATTGGTCCAAAAAGCCAACATTTTCAAACATGCAACACAAAGTATTCTAACTGTTATTGACTGAGATGAAACGTTTTCAATATCATACCGAGACTCGCGTTTTGATCCAAATAATTTGAGTAATTTTTTTTCAAGACTGGTAATCATGTATCCATGAAAATGCCTGTTAGTTGTCTGCAAAACAATATAAGCATATCTTTATTCGTTTCATAGAACTATTGTTCTGTCTCCCCTACCCGAAGCCATTGATCCCCACACCTAAATATGCATGTAATTTACTAAATAGTGAATATGTGTTCTGGCTCAGATATGGTTTATCTTCGACTCGCGGCCAGTCGGGAGTTCCCTGGCTGAGATGCAATAAATTAAATACGTTTTTTTCTCAGCCAATCACTGTCCAAAGTTTTTCACAGTATTCGCCATGGGTATTTTCTAGGATGCTCATTTGTAAAATTATAACTTTTATCAGAATTCTATATAGTCCTAGACTGTATTTTGTCTCCAATGTTACTTTGACCTAATTTTGACCTATTTTTCAAAATTTCGAGAGTTCGAGAGTTGAATGACCTATAATATGGTACCTTATTTTTTACTGTACCTCTTCAACTGCCCCCCCCCCCCCTGGTCATAAGTGTTATGAAAAATACGTTATACACACATTAGGGCTAGATCAAGTGCAGGGGTTGTGCTGCAATCAATCGGGTTTGATCGGGTTGTCCATAGGAGAAGAACTACTCGTACAAACATAAAACACATTGAGGTAAAAGAGAAAATGGAAGATCAAAATGGAGTTAGACAAAATTGAACTTAAGAAGTACAAAACGTATTACATATAAAAGTTCTCCATGCTCGAAGGTCAATTCTAAATGTCTCGTTCAATCTGATCCAAGGTGCGAAATGACCAACTGAAGCTGAAGACGATGCTCAGTCAGAGAATCAATAAATAGCGCAAAACAATTTCAAATCCCAACGCACTAGCCAAAGAGCTTTTTTAGCTCGCATTACTCATTAACATTGATCATCAGTAGTAAATCTATACTAACGACTATCATATTGGTCGGCTTAGGGAGTAAAGGAATATTCGTTTAAAACTGAATTAAACCATTTTTATCAGATTATGGTGAATAATAGTGACATTAATTGATTGTTGAAAACGGAAGCATTGTCTATCAACGGAATGCATTTGTCAAAGGCAGGACAATATTTTATTTCATTACCGGAAAAGCCCAATTATGAACAATTAAACATTTATAGATTCAGATTATAAAATCAAGTCAAGATCGTATATATGCGAAATACATTGTCTTGTTTTATTTTTTATTTTTTTGTGGTACAAAGAGCACGTTTAAAATGCTGGTCGTATCGATTACTGTCACAGTGGTTTAAGGATTTCCCCAAACCTTGTCTATTGCACCCTCTTTCTCAGTTTCATTTCCGAATGTTTTACACCATTATTAAGTGAAATGGTCATTAAACAAATCAGGGATGGGCGGACGACTACTAAACGAGGTCAACAGTCTAAAATGCTCTTGTTTTCGATCAATTTCGATCGAACAGTAATTGCGTGTATCCATTCTTCAGAAGGCATTCTCTAATTAATACTGACCAGTTAGATTAAAATTGCTATGGGTCTAGGCTCTGGAGACCGCTTACGATGTGATGAATGGACGAATAGGCCAGTTCTGCTAATCGTCATGAAACGTTACTCGAATGCGGTTCGGCTGTTGATTCCATTTTTCTTAATTTATGACAGTTAAAATAATAAAATAGAAATAATTCGAATCCTTATAAGTCAGTCAATCAAATCAATCAAATTAAATCATGATCTTGAAAATGATCGATGCACAGTTAATAAAAAAGAGTTTGACTTTACACTTTAAGCCCTGAGCACTGAGTCTGACAACAATCAAACGTTTATCAAGACAGTGATAAAGCATTTGAATTGAAACTGTTTGAGACTATTTCATTGGCATTTTGGGTTATACTCATATTAACCTCATTTTTATAATGTTCATACAAGGAATTGATATATTGCTAAAGGCCAATACATTGATTGATCTGCTTAAATCTAAAAATGATTCTACTTTGGGCGTTGTTTTTACCTAACTCTATGTGTATGGAGGGCAAATCTAGAAAATTCTAGATATATTTGTAATTTAGGAATCGATTCCGATATGACATTTAATAACCAATGTTGAGCTTTGTTTATACAGGGCCTTTAAGGCAAGGATCATCGTTTTGACAACTCATGGTAACTCGAGTACCATTTATTCTTAAAATGTCGGTTTCAATCATGACAATTAATAGCTTCACACTATAGATATATATTGCATCATCAGTCTCGAGACTAGCGTCTCTTTCAGCGTCGGTAATAAAGTTAATACCAACAACCTGGGGCGTATTGCCTTAACAATCTGGATTATCCACAAAATAACCCTAATTGAATCATTTAGAATTGGTAACATAACGATATATGTCACTATTAAAGTGTAATGTTATCAGGGTTGAATATAGTCCTTATGAATATATTATTATATACAGTTCATCAAATGATAGCATGTTCATTTTGCGATTAGAGAAAAGTTAGCCGTGTACTTTTGAAGAACAATAAACTCTTCCTTTCGAACACCCGGTGTCCATACATTTGCCCTACTGGATTATAAATATGACCACTTGGTCCTTTCTTTAAAGCTTATTCAATAATCATTGGAGCATCAATAGTAATCAGTTTTTCATTTTATTGAAAGGATTTCTTTGTGGTTCTGCTGATATAGATTTGATGTAAATAAATCACTCTTTTTAAGTTAACGATGCCCATTTACAAATCTGCATTTGGGATTTATAGATAAAACGGGGTTTGAAATGAGTAATTTGAATATTTTATGAGACCAATGCAACCTCAGCCAAGCTCATTCACACACAATAATCAATCATAAGCAGAATCAAAGCGCTTCTACATTTGCTTAATCAACCATGCATGCATGTATTTTGAATCATTAAAAATGTGGAAATAAATATACCGTCCGTATAGTATATTTATTTTGGGTGTTTTTGAATCACTAAAAATGTGGAATTATTGTCGTTGATATACCCCATTTGCATTTGAAGCCTTTTGTTTAGCCTCTGCATGAATTGCCTCGCCCCCAATTTCTTTTTTAAAAAGGATATGTGATGAGTTTCAGAATGTAAAATAACAGTAAAATATGAAGAAAAGTGGACAGAATAATAAAAATAAGAAAATTGCATCACCTATGTGAAAACATCATTTCGTAACCGACGCACTGTAAATTTTGTTGCAGCATCAGAGAGCGGTAAACTGAACAGGCGAAAGGGAGTGTGGTCAGGCAAGGGGGCATCGATGGAACACAAGATTAAATCTTCAATAATGAACAATTATGATGTAACGACCAGGCCGGTGATGGAAGACGACACGCCAATCACTGTTTCCATTGCCATATCACTATATCATATCTTAGATACTGTAAGTACGATATCGAGTCTAATTAATTATACGAATTCAGTGAAGATCTTATTCGATTATCATACATAGTCTTACTTTGGTTATATATACTTCATGAGAATATACACATGATGCTGCAATATCCCTTTGGGTTATTTTGATACTTGTGGGTGTTTTAATAATTTCATGAAATTTTCTTTAATGCCTCTTGACCTTTTTGGTATTTTCCCATTTGATAGAGAAATTTCGAGGTGGAAAGGATTCAAATTAGCCATACTTCATTTTGGGAATGGAGTGGATTGCACAATATATGTTGATCCCTTCCCGAAATCCCTTCGCACCCTTATGGACTAAAACTGTTCTTTCAACACGGTGCTTCCAAACCCACAAGTTGAGACTGAATGATCCATATTGTCAATAGTCGATCGTATCTACAACTAGTAATCCGATGTCAACGGTATTCGGATTTTTTTTATATAACGCTAATTTGTTCAGCAACATATTGTAATGACTATATGAAATGCCCATGGTCTTTTGGTTGTCTACCCGGAGCGCAGAGATGAATTTAGCCATCCTTTAAGGGTTTGGCAAAAATGTGTTGAGAAATTGTTTAACATTGCATCTTTTTACATGAGATTATTGTTTGTTCTAAAATGGGGTATAGTTAATATTTCATGCTGTGTTTAAAGTGTGTTATTGACATGAAGTAATACCGTCAGAAAACACAATGATGACACCAGGAAAAATATGCAAAATAGGAAACACATTTGCTCCTAATCGTACATCGGTGTAAATATAGATGGCAGTTATCTCCACGATGCTAACCGATTCACAAGTGACATCTATCTATGCATAGTGATAGCTATGCTAACACCTTACACACTTATATATTATAAAACACATCATCTCCATCTATCGAGGTACGTGTACAAAATGTCATTCTATGAAGTGAATACCCATGCATATTTTTCAAGTGATTCATCAATTAGTCTGAAATAGAATGAAATATTTCTTTCTCTAATAGTACACGATTGTCAAGCTTACCACTATCGGTATATCCATGGGCTTTCAACAGACATGAGTTCCTTTGTTGAGAAATTGATAAAAAGGGTAAGTAAGTATAGGAATAACATTGATAGAAACATTTTTTTGGATCAAACCTATGTTTACGTGAGATGATGATAATCTTCATCTGCACTGAATGAAATAAGTTTATCTGTCAAACTTGATAAGCGCTTTAAAGTGCATATTCTCTGATATTTTACATCATGAAACACAGTTTTTGACTAACCATACAATTACAGGCCTTGACATAATATAATAATGAAATTAATTCAAAAGTGACATTGTCAGCTGCACCAAATATTCTTAGTTTCCCATCAGGGACGCTTACATTTGCCTGTACTATAACAAAGAGCGAATTCATAACTCTAGCAGTTTTTATCGTCAATTTATTTTGTTTAATTTCAGAATGAGAAGCACCAGACATTTTCATGTCTTCTCTCAATACGGCAGGTAATATTCTTTGAGTTTTTTTTGGAATTCATGATAACTACAATAGTGTCCCGATTTAGAGTAGCCAATTTGCAACATTTGGATTTTTACTGTAATGAAATAAACCGTACACGCGTTTTTGATTCACACAAGGCATGGATGATTATAGAAGAGTACTTACATTTTAAAGTCAAAAAGGTTTTTACTGTTTATTTCATTACATCTTATTTTTCACTACCCTTAAATCGTGACATATATCTCTGGCAGGATGATTATTTTAAATACTGTTTTCTGATTGGCTGGAATTTGATATACATGTACAATGCCTAGCTATGTGGGAATAGTACATTAATAAAGTCATTTCAAAGGGCAATATTATACAAATACTCGATGATCAGGAACTGGATATGGCAGAATGCCTATTCGAACATGACTGTATTCACGCATTCTATAAACTATAAACAAAGTCAACATGCATTTCACCCGGGATATATTCACAAACAATACCCCTTGTAATACGTGTAATATGTGTAACGGCGGGTCGTAGTAATGGCGGACTAAAATGAATATTCAAAACATTTTTGTGATTTTTCATGTTCGAATCGTAATATAGATCTCTGAATAGGTGTAATATCGTCAAGTACACCCCCTAGGGCTAGGCACAAACGCTTTCGAACCCCTCGATCACAACCTTCGGTCGTTCGGGGTACAGAAAACATTTGTGCCTAGCCCTGTGGGGTGTATTCGACAATATAACTCATGCTATTCGGTCTATATTTCTTAAATGAATGCCTTCTAAACTAGCACTAATACCCCTAGAACAGGCCCGGCGAGGTGGTTATAATAATATTCTATGCTTGTCATGGGAGTATTTTCATTTTATATTAACACTGTAATGGAGTCGAAAAACACAAATAAGGGCAGTTGATTAAAGGGCATTGTCCTTTAACTGGCGTACATGTAATCAAAGGAGATCGTCCATCATTATGGGGTGAAGCTCATCAAGATAAATAGCTGCAACTACATTTATTCGTCTTCAGGTTCCTCATAAAAAAAATTAATCAGCAGTTACTTAGTCAGAGCAGTATATGTAAACAAGATCTTGTTATGTCTTCACTAATGTAGGATGACCAAAAGCTTGGGGCCTTATTACAGAATAATCCATCAACTTATATGTTTGTTATCAAATCAAATATAGCAAAGAAATGGGAAGCTTCGGGGTATAGATAAATGTATACAACTTCCTCAAATTAATTTATCCCTATTTTACATATCTCAAACTATACAAACTTCAAATCCACTGTTTCAACCAAAAAGAGTATGACTACAGTACATAAATGTTAGAAACCAAAGGGACGTACCTATACATGTAGGCCTCGGAAAATTAGCCCGTTTTTATTACTCATATTGTTTAACTTTTCAATCTTAAGTGCCAATAAACAGATAAAAGAGATAGGCACACATAGGCATTTTTGCGTTTCCCCATACATTATTGAGCCAGGCAACGGGAAAAGGGGTCTCATCACAGATTTTTCAATGATTTGTTTTTTTTTATCTTAAAAAGCACAAACAGAGCTTTCAAATGAGCCATGACTTATGACTTAACGATTTTTCCTTGCATATATAGACCAAAAAGTCGGATTTTAATTTAGCACATTTTCTTCTTAATCTTGGGCACATTTTTGGCTCTGTAGCACAATTTTAATTTTTGTGATAAGACCGGTTTTCCCATGGCCATGGCCAGATTATATAAATATTCCATGAGCAATCCAAAGATTTGGAATATCTGATCAAATAGCATTGTAATGGAAGATAGAAGCTTCAAATCTTTCAAATTCCAATTTGAATCGGAAAAGAGGGCTACGTCTACTTTCTTCAAATCATCATCTGTTAGTAAAGACAATATATTTGAGATAGCCCCAAAGATAAAATTCTTGCAGTTCATGCCACGTGACTGTGAGGCCTATTCATCTGGAACACGTTTTGTAAAATGACCATATTGATAGACCAATGAAACATGGTAGAATGAATTCGAAAGAACATTGAACAAGGTCTAATTATTGTGCCAAATATGACTTGCAACCCATACTGAATGACCAAGTTATTAACATTTGCTTGAATCTTCTGTTTTTGCTCACCCTGTGATTACTACGAAATTATTCAAAATCTCGGCCGTACAGGATATGGGTGCGACAACGAATTCTGTGAAGAAAATATAATTTAAGATTATGAGTTTAAAAGGTGCCCATAGGTCGTCTTTGTCATATTTGCAATTTATCATCATAAAGGATGACTTTTTTTATTTTATAGAGGTGGCGAGATGAGTATCTGACTTGGAACGCCTCGGAGTTTGGAAGTGTCCAATCCATTAGGCTCCCTGCTAATAAGATATGGACACCAGATTTGGTCATAAGTAATTAGTAAGTATTTCTATGTGCATATAATATTTAATATTGATTTCGATGAGTCTTATATGATAAAAGAATGAGTATGAAAAAAGGACGAAGGAAATAGAAACTGTACCCAAATACTACTGTGTAAAAGTAGATGGGAGAAAAAATATATCCAAAAGGTATAGATTAACGTAAACATACTTCATGATATGTATGTGTAAAGTATACCGTATGCAGGCTTTCCAAGGTATGCATCTTGCAAGATCGTGTAAACTGAAAACTGACTTTTCATTCCAATATTGTGTTTTATAAGAATATTTTAACTATTTTGTTATTGAAAGCGCATACAATATTTTTCGGCTCTTATAGCCCATTTATGTTCCTGTGGATTAATTTGCACAATGATACATTTACAATTATAATAAAATCCTTCTGCTGATCCCGAGCCAAAAGTCACAATTTAAAGGAGTTGTGTATCAATTATTGCACTTTTCATCAAAAGCATAGTTCAGTCTAAAATCAAAAAAGGAAGTACCAATATTAAAATTTATTCTTCAAACTGGGGAGGGTGTGTCGGCACACCCTGTAGTGTATAAATTCAAATATGAATGCTTTTAATCCAATTGATATATCAATTTGTTAAAACGAATTTAGATCTCATTTCTATCGATTGTCGTCGCTCTCGCTTCATAACAAGAGTGAATCTGAAATCTGAAAGCCCAACGTCATCTAGATCAGAGCCGTAGATTGAACGTTATCACCTCCACATTTGTTTCATGTAACAGAATTAAGCCCTCGGTCATCTTTGAGGACAAGGATTGCACGTATATTCTGATTGGATGAAGTTAATCAGTGTTAATTTAGCGTACTTTGCCACTGACTTGTTGACAGGTAATCGCTCATAGCAATCATAGGAAAATTTATCTTTGTCGTCCATGATTAAGTGAGATCAGTTTTACATGTAATTACACTTTATGTAAAACCTGTGATGACGTTGATAAGACTTTCTAAATCTGATTTTCGTGATAATCTATTATTTATATCATCTTTGCAAGGAATTCTAAGTACTATCAACGAAAAATCCCAGGGAAAATAACCAAAAAGACAAAGATGTTCTGGGCTCAAAAGGGGGTTGCAGTTTCGCCCTGGTGCCTGTCTTGGTGCCTTAGGACAAAAAGAGATTTTTTAAGAAGAGATTTCTAAGATGGCCACTGATTTTCAAACAAAATTGTTGATAACCCAAATACCAGTGGACGGATTTGGTTTGAATTCTATATGTTGATGCCTTTGAAAACGGGGGCTCTACTCAAGAAAGATTTTTTACAATTAAAAAAGACGACAGCTAGTGTCCTCCATTTTTCGTAAAATGTAAGTTCTGAAAACTCAAATACAAGTGGATGGGTTGATTGAAATTTCATGCGATAATGCTTAAGAACAAAGAAGTTTTGGTTGAAAATAAATTTTCGAGATGACAGCTGAATTGAAAATTTACGTAAAAATATAATCTTTGATAATTAAATACCAGTGGACAGATTTGGTTCTTTTATATGCTGATACCGCGGGACAAAGGAGCTCTGCTCAAGAGAAATGTCAAGAAAGAAGATGGCCGCTATTTATCACAATATGTCTTGTTCGGTGGAATTTGCTACTCCATGGAGTTGCCGTTTTCTAATTATAACCAATGGATATTGTCAGTCTTTTGTCTTGCATTGTTTGATTTTGACCAAACATAACTGACATCGCATTATAATAGCTTATTGTAAATAAGATAACATACATGTATGAATGTCTCTAATTTTAGTGCAGATGAGAATTTCAATGACAGAATGATCACAAACGTTATAGTAGACAATAAAGGGAATGTCCTCTGGATGGTCCCGGCTCTCGTAAAAACATACTGTACCCTCAACGTACAATACTTCCCCTTTGATCTACAATCCTGTGAGATCATTTTCATCTCGTGGACATATAGTGGATTTGAACTAAACATCATATACAATGAATCCATGGCAAATACTGTCTATTACAACCCAGACAATCAGGAGTGGTTCGTTGAAAACATCACGTCTCATCGCAATGTGAAAAAATACGCCTGTTGTGAGGAACCGTATCCCGACGTCACGTTCACGATTAACATGAAACGTAGGAGTCAGTTCTATGTGTTCAACATGATCTATCCCTGTGTGTTGATCTACCTGATCTCATACTTGGGGTTCTTCTTGCCTGTGGAATCTGGAGAGAAGGTGAATCTGGAGATTACAATCCTCCTGGCCTTGGTGGTGTTCCTACTCATGGTGGCCGAGACAATGCCTCCAACTCCCGATGCAATACCAGTTCTAGGTGAGACAATCTTCTATCAAGGCCATTGAAATGTGGTAACAATAACAGTAGTATCATGCCAATGTAGCAATGTGACACAAGAGGATTGACTGTCACATGCAGTGCACCACTTAAGCTAATAATTAGTTACCACTATTCACTTATTTGATGATAGAAAAGTAAACAAAAAAGAAATCAAATTATGTTACTGGGTATGTGTACAGGGTGTACCAAAAAAGCAACGCACCTTGCATTGCATATTTTTGGGGTTCGATGTTATTTATGTTGACGAAGTTTCACCACTGTAGACACTGTAGCATGTTCACGAGGGTGGTTCATAAAGTAAGGTGATCTTATTTCAAGTTTCTAATATTTGTTTTAGAAACTTCATACATTCACTAACATATGATCCATTTGCTGGTCATTTCAAAAACGTACATCAGAAATAAATGGCCGCCTGTTTTGTAAAACAATGTTATCTTCTGATAACTCGCTTACCAGTTCAAATTTAATATGCCGATGCCTTAAGGACATATAACTATCCTCAAGAAGAGATTCTCAAATTGGTTGCTGAATTCAATATGGTTTTTATTTTAGAAAAAAACATGCTATATTTTATGACGCATGTACAAGTTTACAGATCTCTTTCAAAATGTATGTAGGCTAAAGAATTGGGGACATAGGACTGCTCAAAAAGGAATTTTCAAGATAGCTGCAAATTGGCCTGCATTTTCAGGAAAAACATGATTTTTAATAAACTCAAATACCAGTTGTCAGACTTGATTTAGATTTTCTAAGCGGATGCCTTACAGGCGTTTTTATTTGATTTTTCAAGATGGCTGCTAAATTCAAAATTGCTGCCATTTTCCAGGGGAATGTTTTTCGCGATAACGTGAATACCAAATACCGGTGTCATGTTTTGGTCAAAACAGTGTGTTACTATGGCAATCATTTTAGTTGCTTGATTTGAAAGTATTTCTATTGAACATTCTGTGAAAAGTTTTACTAAACATATTGAAGAACAAAAAAGTAGAAAGATGATACGAGAACGTTATGATCACAACTAAATACTATTTTACTCAAATTACACACATTAGGTTCATTAGGTTCTCTTTGGCCTATTAGCTTATGATCACGCTAAATATGAACTTATTGCTAAAATATGCTCTTTCATGCCAGATTTCACGTCGCCTTTAATTACGACATGATCAATGCAAGTTGTGTTTTGCCGCAACTTCTTCACTTTCATTTGATGAGATACTATCTCATTTTCTTTTGCCAAAGGGATATAATTAGTGTTATTAGAAATTACAGTATACGAAGTCGTATTACTTTCAAAATGTTTTCCCCCAATTGTTTCAAATTGGGTCATCTAGAACTGCTGAATCGATTGAATGACTCAATCAATTGATCACATGGGAGAAAAATTAATGGAATCGAGGTCACGAGATTCCGGTGTAAAAGGGTAGGAAGTCCTGTCAAATTATGGCCTACTCTCCATTGATTTATATGGTGACCTAAATACAACTCTTTCCCTTATTATCTTATACACAATCAGGGCCAGTAAGGGCCTTTAAAAAGGGGGACCATAATCCCTGGGGGACCATTATTTCTTTCACACCGGCCCTGTCTACTATTGGGAGGATATATTTTTATGTTTATGTGTATTTAATTGGTGGCTCCGATAGTGCTAGTTGATCTTCTAGCTCATCTAGTTAATTATATCTGAAACTGCAATGTACAGCCCATCGTTTAAGGGAGGCAACGTGCTCTCCACTAATTGCATTTTTATTTCTCATTTAGTCACTTTGCTAGTAGGTCCGTTATAGTTTTCTGTTTATCTGCCATTTATAACCGTGTCTAGGCTTTCCTTGAAACATTAATGAAAATTGTACATTTTCTCGTCACAATGGTAATATAAAATTGTTGTAACAAACAAACATCAAATATTACAAACGATTGAGCTCCTCTAAAATATGGAAAAGCGCATTAGTAATTAGCCTCTTTATAGGATTTGCACTTTGCAGTTTTACGATGCAATGTATCGTCTTGTTTATTTCGCTTCAAAGTACAATAAAATGTAGGTGTCTATTTCAGGGATGTTCTATGGCGCCACAATGATGATGGTATCCATTGCTCTCCTCATGGCTGTAATAGTGACAAACCTCTATCTGAGACGGGACACTCATCAGAAACTTCCAGCCTTCCTGAGGCGTTTACTGAAAACACTTGGTACAAGGAGCTTAAGAAATATGAACAAATTAACAAAGTTAGAGCTAAAAGAATTACAATCAGATTGTAATGGTGATGTTGATACCAACAAGTTTAATGCAGATGATATGTCTATAGACAGTGACGATCTTACCGACTATGATTATATGGCTTGTCAGGGTCACTTCAGCTGCTTCAAGAAAACTAGAAGGAGATACGACTCAGACTGGCAAATCCTTGCAAAATGCGTCGATAATGTATTGTTTTGGTCATACGTTGTCATAAGTGTACTTGTATTCTTCCCTATATTTTCCCAACTGCTCAATCGCTAATGATATCCCGAATACCTCCTAATAAATAAAGGGAGATATAAAGGAAATTTGGCGTTTCCTAATCACAAAGAAACATGTTATAACGCATTGATCATCCAGTGGAATAGTGATGTTGATAGTGCGTGCAAAGAGCAAATAATAAGATATCCACAGCACAATAAATAATGCAATATAGCACCTGAACTTATAGATATGATAACAGTCTTTATCCTACGGTATGCCAAGTAGAGTTTTAGGGAGATAAGTTAGTGAGATATATCCCGTATCCTGATTTTGAGGTTTCCATATCCAGAACCTCCATATCTCCCGCCATATCTCCCGCTTCGGTGCATATCTTCCCGCTTCGGTGCATATCTTCCCACTTCCGGTAAGTAGTGGAAATGCAATAAAATGACTGCATATGAATAATTTGTTTTTTGTTGTTGGCCACATGCCCCTGAAAACTCTACTTGGTATAGGATAAAGCAGTTATGTATGGTCGGTTTGGATATTGGGTTCATCCCTCGTGAGATATGCACATCTACCTTCGGTCCCTACGGTCCCTCGGGTAGATATGCATATCTCCCTCTGGATAAACCCCATATCCAAAACCTCCCAGTACATAACCCTTATTTATCAACGGATCATATTGCCATAAGTAATAAAAACAGGCCATGCATTATGGTGACAGTTGAAACTGAAATTTAATGTGTTTCTCGTTGTACAGGGCGTTCAGTAAGTAAAGCTAATTTTGCTCTCAAACTTTTATTTCTTGTCTATCATCGTTCAAATTTTCAGTGGAGAAGCATCAGACACTTTTCTAACTATCCTGAAAAAATAATCAAGATGTAATGAATAACAGCAAAATGGTGGTTGTCATAGTAACGCGAATACGGGTTCTGCGGAGCAATTTTTAAAGTTCACAGCATAGTAGATTTTGTTAACGTTAGTTTCTGTCCTGTCTATATTTCAACCATAGTTCTGTGGCTACTCCACATTTTTACTTTCAAGTTAGCATTCTATTTTATGTTCAAAGTAGTCCCCCTTAGCTTTCACACACAGCTGATGTTGTTCTATCCACTTCTGATATATCCTGTGGAAGCCATCTGGAAAGTTCTTTGTCAGCGAATGTTGAACGGCATTCTGAAGCTCATGGATATTTGCGTGGATCTTACCAATCAGATCATTTTTTCAAACATGAAAATACCCCAAAAAATTGTATACTTAGGCACACTGTCCCCATATGCTTTTGGGATATCCCTAATGGTATCCTGCTTGGATTTCCCGAGCAACACATTGTATCTGATGCTACTTCTCAATTGTTGTTTCATTTCATTGTTCATTTTGCTTCCATTGGCAATCCTGGCAGCCATGATTTTGATGATGTCATGGAGCAGTGTCTGATGGATCATTCTGGATCATTCCATCTGTTGTATCATCTGTCTGTGATGTCATAGACTACTGTTGCCATGGTATTATATTTGTGTATGTTGTTGTTATGTTTGTGGTGACTTTCAGCCATAGCAAACAAAGACATATGCAGCATTAATCTTAATCAATTTCATTGCATCATAACATTTTTATTAAAGTAAGAAATTGCTCCGCAGAACCCGTATTCACGTTACTATGACAACCATTGTTTTGCTATTATTCATCATATCTTATTTAATTTTTCAGGGTAGTTAGAAAAATGTCAAATGCTTCTTCACTGAAAATTTGAAAGATAAATGACAAAAAATAAAAGTTTGAGAGCAAAATTAGCTTTACTTACTGAACGCCCTGTAAATGTATGGTCTCAAAACATTATAAAGTTATTTGTATATGCATTTAAATTGGAGTTCGGGGGTACATTTAATACCTTTGCCTATTAGGGGTCCTGGGAAAAGTAATGATAGACGTAAGGAGAGGTACATATTTACCATAATCATAATAAAATAATCATAATTTATCATTCAAAAATAATTGGAACGTGTGGCTTCACTTGATCTACAGAAGAAGCTAAATAAATGAAGGTTGTTATTTAATTGGAGGTTTTGGTGACAAGGTGTATCCTGAGGGAAATACAACATATCTACCCGAAGGACCGTATCCAAAACCTCCCACTAAATATGAGTAAATAACTGATTTGTCCTATACTTAGTAGATTATGAGGATTAATTATGCTTTGAATGTTTATGGAACCGTGGCCTCAGTGTACTGATTATAACAAAACATGAATATTTTATCTCAATTTAATAAAATTCATTTATTTCTTGATTTTGTTTTTGAACGTCTGCCAATTGTTTACAGTGGTTGTATGTATCGTTCCCGCTCACCTCACATCAATAATATTCCCGCATGTTATTGCACCTATAACACTACTAAGTATAGGATTGTAGAAAATGTAGGTATTATATAACGACAAAGAAATTGAGAACAAGAAAACAATAATCAGCAAAGTTTCCGCTTGCTAATGTGTACGTATGTTACATATTGCCAATAAGAAATGTGCTAGGTAGAAAATATTTTATCTATTTGTAAAAAATAGTTTGTCTACTTGTAAAAAACTGTTTGTCTATTTGTAAAAAATAGTTTGTCCATTTGTTAAAATATTGTTTGTCTATTCACAGCGGGACACCCTGACAAAGGTAAAGTCAGATAAAAAATGAAAAATGATTTATCAAATTGGTCATCGAAGGTGACAATGGCACCTCTCAACTTGCTTTGGAAAATATTCTCCTCTTGTTTGACGCATGTTTACAAAATGTTGATACCCAATAAATGTGATTTGACCAATCAGCGACGATGATATGACACATGGCGTATGTCACTCATAGACTAATGAAATTGGAGTTCATCTTGTGTAATATGAAGATCGGCCTTGGTACACCTCTTGCTCCTCAAAAAAGATTGCAAGCCAGCATACTATCTTGAGTATGACTTAAATTATATAAACAGGGTGGGCCAAAAAACAATACCCAAGTTTAAGGATGAATATCAAATGATGTAACGTTAAACCATGCAATGTAGTATATCATTTTAAAGATAAATCATTTCCTAACAATAGTACACCATCTGAAAAAACCGTTGCTTTCTTGTAGAGTCATAGGCTAACATTGAGACCAGGGGTGTCATGAGCGACCAAAAAATTATTCACTGCAGATTTCCAAATTGTGGAAAATGGAGGGAAAGTTGAACTTTGGCACTTTCAAAAGAGGTACATTTATAAAAATACCAGTGCGAAATTCAGTAATAATACTTATATATTTCTTATTAATTATCAATATGGAGGGAAATTTGGGAATCTTTATTTTTTGATTTTTGGTCGCTCACGGCAACCCTGGTCTCATTTTTAGTCTCTAACTACACGAGAAAGTTTTTTCAATTGAATAGAGTTATTCTGTTAGGACATTATTTATCTTTAAAATAATATATAATACATGGCATGATTTAACAAATATCATATGAATCATTCATCTTTAAACTTGGGTATTGTTTTTTGCCCCACCCTATATATATACAATGTATAGATCATAATATATAGCAATTGTTACGGTCTCCGTTTTTTGTGGCGGCGGTTAGTGGTTGGCGATCGGCAGTTGGTGGTTGGTGATCGGTGGGTGGTGGTTGGTGGTTGGCATCTGTAACAAATTCTTCCAACTTCCAATAACTTAACAAATACCGTTTGGACTGACCACACTTTTCTTAAATCATCTACCAGTTTTCAAAAGTTGAAATCTGATTTATTTTTAAGATTTGACCTTCAATGACCTTTTCAAGGTCAAGAAAAGGTCTAAAAAGTATTTTATCAACTTGCTTAAAATTGGCCCAATTTTTTTCAAAATCATCAACAAGTTATCAAAAATACAAATCTGACTTTAGATTTGACCTACAATGACCTTCTCAAGGAAAAAAGGATCAAAAAGCTATATTTTAAAAGATTTGACCTTCAATGACGTTCTCAAGGTCAAAAAGGTATTTTTTAACTTGCTTCAAATTGACCAATTTTTTTCAAAATCATCTTCAAGTTTTTAGAAGTTCAAATCTGACTTTAGATTTGACATTCAATAACCTTCTCTGGGTCAAATGGGTATTTTTCAACTTGCTTCAAATTGACCAATTCTTTTTTCAAAATTATCTACAATTAAGTTCTCAGAAATTCAAATCTGACTTAAGATTGAACTAACATTGTGAGCAACTAGGTGGTGACATTTTGTCATGTAACCCTACTATCACACCAAACTAGTTCTCACTACGTTCTCGAAAACGGGCTTAAACTGTGCACGAACGGATTTGACGTACTAAGAAGTAAGAACCCACTAAGAACCGTTTGGGATCTTTTTACAAACTTCAAGAAACTACTAGAACGAGTAGGTCCTCCAGAACTTAGAGCAAAATTCGATGGCGACCATACCGTTCTGTAATCAGGTCATGATGACCTTCTAGACTAAGGAACGCGTTATACGACGTTGCACACCGACGTGGTGCGACCTGAACGCACTGCGAATGAGATGGGCGTATTGAAGACTGTTTATGAACGAAGTAGCTAATTATTTGAGACATATTTCCCGACCGCAGCCAGATTGAGCCCGTTTTACGACGTTTTCCTATGAATGGCAAGAACGGGTAAGAACTAGTTTGGTGTGGTAGGGGGGTAAATGCCTTGTATTGGTGTTATTTTGAACAGGCATATCCCACTGCAAATTGTTTACATGTATTTCTACAAAAATGGCAGCTATTTTGAATTTACCGGCAATACTAAATATCTGAACCAAATCGGACAACCGATATTTAAGTTGTCACCCGTATATTACATAACTGAAGGACGAAGGGGCGTATTCTATATGGCTCTACCCAAACTTTATTTAGTGGGATATTAAATATATGAAACACGTTTTTCATGCTGATACTAAGCATGCTCAGTCTCATTGCCTTATTTCTGTTACACTTTCCGATGATATACAATCGAGTCTAATTTGACATCGACGTTTAGGTACTGTATCCGGTCATTGACAGCTCATAATTAGGCATACTTGTAGGCGGAAAGAATATTGATAGAAGAAACTGTCGCAAAATATCTCATTTTACTCAGCGATTATCCCCTGATGAATTACCTGGCTAAATTAGTTCAGCAAGTACTGTTGTTGAAATATGAAGTAATTAGTTTGTAACATATATAAGTAATAACAAGATCCTGGATAAGGATTCAGGACAGTGCCCTCGGATGGAAACCTGTCAAAGACATTGCATTAAATAAAAAACATTTCTGTTGGACCATGATAACAGCAGCAATACTTTCCATATATGACCTTAGATATGTTAAACGTGCTTCAAATAATGAATTAGGGATGTGGCATTTTTTAATCCTCATTAAACCTTTTTAAGGCATTTTAGAAGAGTTTCCTAAGAGTAACTATCCTCAACGTCCTCTTTTAGAACTCAATATCTATCCTATCCATCGTATCTTCGACAATATATATCACCCATATTTTCGGTCACATTCAGGTCAGGGCTGTTTCCAGGATACTAAAATGAACTATGTTTTTGGCCAAACACTAAGTTTTGAAATGCCTGTAACTTTTTACCATGTGTGAGTTAAACCACAATATTTATCAATGTAGCTTTGGATAAGCTTTAAAATGATATATGACACATACTATGGAGACATTGGTGTATGTCTGCCTCGGGGGCATACTTTTGGGATACCCTGTAGATCAAGAAAGCATGGGTGTACATTTGTTCCTCCGCGAACTGCATCATGGGAAATATTTTGATCTTATAAGGAAAATCTTTCGCGTCTCCTCTTTTGAAGAGGGAACAACGAATACGACAATTCACACATAGTTAGGCAATGTGTGTCCAATTCCAGCCAACCAGAGCATGCTATTTCATTTAACTGCATTCCGTTATATAACCAATAACGAACTCTACAGATTGAAACTGATACTTTGCCAGCTTGACCATTGCAAAAAGTTTCATTGAAAATATGTTCATTTGGTGATTTCGTATCTTTTAGATGATATTTTGAAAATTTGAAGAAAATGCTTTGCAATGTGTTAAAAGAATTTTAGCCCAAGACTCAGTGCAATGAATGGCTTAAGTCCATTTCTTTCAGGCGTTGTTTCCAAAAATTATCACTCAATGCTCCGCATCTTGTGCAAATTTTGGAAACCAACACCTTAAAGGAATAGTCATTCCACATTAGACTGAGTCCAGGGCTTGAGCAACAAAGCCCCAAAAATATAGTCATGACAGGAAGAATTGACAGGCTTGACAGATCGATCCACTCTAATTCTGGCAAAGAGGCGGTTCGTCAAGCAACAACTGATGAAGTGTATATTTTTGAGTGTTGAGTGCGTCGTATAATGTGTCTTGGTTGTGATATCGTTGTAGTCATCCTTCATACTAAAAGTTTTCCCAGACTCACACCAATCGAGCCCAATCACAAAACTAGAAGGCTAATAACAGAATCCTAGACCAGGACATAGCCCTCAGATAAAGGGAATTAAACGAACAATAAAGCCTTTGATGGGCTTTTGATAAGGAATGTGATCTGATTAAAAACACAACCATTATCAGAAAACCCACCGACACATCTATTTACGCTGCACAATGCTTTTAATACTATACTAATTTACTAATGGTTCACATACATTTTTATCTTTTTTATTTCTTTGCTAAACACAACAGTGGCACAATGAGGAAATCCGAGAAATTATATTATAAACATAACATACACAATACTAGACATACAAATACAAGCATTACATCTAAGAACATTAGTATTTATAGTTACTAAAATTGTTTGACACAATTTGTGAAATAAAAAAAGAGACATAATCCCTATACTAATACACTTTACAAGAGTCATTTGAAATAAAACCTTTGGTTTGTAATAGTACTATAGATCAAACGCGCAGGCCCGTGACATATCAAAAAATACTCTTATATACAGTATGACGAGTGATTTGTGAAATATCAAGGTCAATGAGCTTTTCAAAGGCATTAATTTAACCATTGGCTTTTTGTTGAAAGCCCATGATCTGACAATACATGGAAATAATATTCTTCGTCACTCATCTGACTTTTATAACGATTGTTGATCACCATATAATGGTTGGTATACAGTATAAGGGTAAAATACAAGATTCGTAAACACTTTTTTAAATATGACTCCAATATCACTTTTTGAGTGAAGAAAATCATTTATTAGATTTAATTCAACCAGACTGCATTTTATGAAGATTAAAACTTATTGAAGATTTAAGATCAAGAAATGTAAAAATATAAGTCAATATTTGCCACATAGCCCTTAAAATAAAGCCGGAAACTAAGACAGGACAGCTTTTTTTAATTAGAAATAGGCATGTCATAGAGACATAGCATGAAGAGCAAAAACATATTAGGAAATTGTGACAATTATGAGGAATCCTACTCTCAGATACCTGTTCCTGTAGTATGTCTGATTCTTCGTTGACCCCTTTAAGTCACTCGCATTTGAGTTATTCGACGCACTGACCAGGGTATACAAAAACCATCCTCACATTTTCTTATTTTGATATTTCAATCCTGTCCCTAAACAGCAGCAATCAAATCGTCAATTGACGCAAGATATACAGTTCTTGGGAAAGGATGGCGATTGATTTGATTCAGTCCTGATTTTGAGGAAATATGTTGGGAGAAAACTAAATAAGCAAATTCTAGTGATTTTTGAATTTGTGATATATGAATCAAAATGGACAATAAAAATGTATAAAAAGTGGTGATTTTCGGCCCACTCTGTGAAGACGATAGGAAAAAAAATTGCGGAGAGAATAAAATTTAGGACGTTTAATACGTTCATGCAAAACACTTTCTATTTTTCAAAGTCAAAGAATAAATAATGAGTTAATGTTCTCTGGTCAAAAGTTATGGTTGCTAGAATATCTCTTTTTTGGTCATGCAGGAAGAGAATTATTAGCCTTAATAGAATTATTAGTCACAGATGTACAAGTGCATGTACTGTAAAAGACTTCGTTTGACGATGGGTAAGAGAGAATGTCATTTTTATTTGCCTTCATGTTTGCCTTCATGTTTGATAGTCTAATTGTGATTCCTTGGCGTATTCTTGTTTTTTTGCTATTGAGATATCCATATATTCATAATAAGAAGTAAACGTGTGGCCATTGCTATCTTGCTAAACCAAATGTAATATCCAAGGCAACAACAAGAGATTAAATAATGATACAGGCAAGAAAAACACTAATAGGATATTCAACTTCTGATTGAGTGAGACTCAAACAACGATTAAGATTAGATTCGTGAAAAACAATTTAATTAATCTTCTTCAATTTACACGCAAGAATTTTCTTGAAGGTAGATTTGAACTGCTTGCTGCTGTAGGCGTACAAGAATGGATTGAGGGTACTGTTGAAATAGGTCATCCAAAACATGAACGTGTACAGCCATCCGGGAATTAACTCTGGTTTAGCAAATGAGATATCAAAAACTATGTAAAATGGCAGCCAACAAACCAAATAAGAAAATATAATATAAGTCAATGTTACAAATATTCGTCTCTCTTCTTTTCTACTGAGCCCAACTGAAGTTCCCGATCTTGGTACGTTACCAACGTAATTAGCTTGACCAACAGGATTAGCGGTTATGTCACCAGCCGAGTCAATTGGGTTAGTAGCAATGTCATTAGGGCCTCGAGCAAGTTCCCCAACTGGTGGCATGAGCTTGTCGACCCGTTCAGCTGAGACTTTCAGGTCAACATTTGGTACTTTGAGGTCCTTCGATGATGTCGAGTGTACAGTTCTGCTGGTGCCTTCGCCACTGGCTTGAGTAGACATTATTTGACTGGTCGCAGCATTTGCAAAAGTCTTCCCCGCAATCTTTCTGTGCTTTCGCATGAAAACAAACACCTTGCAGTAGCAGAAAAGCATCAACAAACAGGGAAAGTAGTGCCCAACGATGTCAACAAATATGACATATTCCTTATGCTGGGAGGGCTCCCAAATACAGATGTTAGGCTGGCTGAAGTGTATACGGTCGGAAATAAAGGGCGGAACCCATACAACGACGACCGATACCCTGAAAAACAAAGAAATGTATTTATTACTTGTTCTGACTCCAACTCTGATGAAAGGTGAAATTGAAGTGAGAATGAAATTTGAAAGAAAGAGGTGAACGGCTAAAACAAAAAGATATGTATGACGAGGATTTGGGAATCAGGGGTTTGTAAGTGGAGTCGACTGAAATGAAAGGGGAGAGGGGTCATATCTATTGTAGGAGATATCGGAGAAAACAAATGGATGGGCGTGCTTTGAAAGGATTGTATTTGATTCCAGCCTGGTATACTTGATTAAGGGCGTCATTATAAGTAAGTGATAATAATAAACAAATTAGATAGTCATGAGAAATAAATTGGGAAACCTTGAGATCTTAATGAATATTCCATTAAGTAAACTCGAGAATATTACTTTTTTATGACTGGTGATTATTATCATCTCCTTCATAAAACTTAAGTATATCATCGAGGAGGTATTCGATTTAGATAGATTTGAAGTGCAAATTTGAATTAGGTGACTACGGCTCTGCAGGATTTAGATCAATAGATTTAAAGTGCTATAGGATTTGGGTCAATATATTTAAAGTGCTTCTTTGAATTAGGTGACTACGGCTTTGCAGGATTTAGATCAATAGATTTAAAGTGCTATAGGATTTAGATCAATAGATTTAAAGTGCTATAGGATTTAGATCAATAGATTTAAAGTGCTTGTTTGATTTAGGTGACTACGGCTCTGCAGGATTTAGATCAATAGATTTAAAGTGCTATAGGATTTAGATCAATAGATTTAAAGTGCTTGTTTGATTTAGGTGACTACGGCTCTGCAGGATTTAGATCAATAGATTTAAAGTGCTATAGGATTTAGATCAATATATTTAAAGTGCTATAGGATTTAGATCAATAGATTTAAAGTGCTTGTTTGATTTAGGTGACTACGGCTCTGCAGGATTTAGATCAATAGATTTAAAGTGCTATAGGATTTGGGTCAATATATTTAGAGTGCTAGTTTCATTTGGGTCAATAGATTTAAGGTGCCGTGGTACTTAACAGGAAATGACAAAACAGGAAGTGACAAAACATGCTGCATTTTAAGATGTTTTTTGAACAAAGATAACAGAGTTCTGTTTTGACCTCCAGTCAATTCAAGTTTATTCAACTAGTTCCACATATCATTTACAGGATGTATTCAAAAAATGTCTGAAAAAGAAGCATTTTTGTCACTTCCTTTTTTTGTCATTTCCTGTTAAGTACCACGGTACCTTAAAGTTCTAGTATGTCCAAAACAATATTCAAGTTTCCTCTTAGTTCTTACAATTGTACGTATCTGATTGTCAAAAGCAGAAAAGTAAAATTTTCATGTCATAAAAACATATTTCTGAGTGAATCAACAACCTTAGCCGTATCAAACGATATCATGAACATCCAAACAAAATAGCCGTCTAAATATACATCCCAAGACAACTCATATATTCGTATTTGTTTGGTTTCATTTTTAATGTTTGTTGCTCTCACCATTCCATGTCATGTATGATTTCAAAACATTGATAGATCTTAAAATATTTCAGGAATTTCCTTGAATTTCAAGGTTATATACAAGTGTACGACGTAGCTGGAAAAAAAGAAACAGTGGACGTCATCTGATTCAACCAATAAAGGATATTTCTGCATCTTAAACTTTTAACAATTTCTATATTTAATCAGATATCTCAATCTTTTTCGGAAAATAAGATTAGGATTGTAAGGTGAACATTATTTGGCTTTTTAAAAAGATGCATCCATCACTTAAAACTCGCAATCTTATCAAATTCCTTTTATGACTACCGTAAGTGTTGATCCCTGGGGGGAGGCCTCCCTTGATCGATGGCATTGAGCTAAGAAATCATTCACTGAGACAATGGCCGAAAAGTTAAGAATGGCGCTTTCTCCTTTTGAGTTTCAATATACCATTAGAAAGGAAAGTGTGTTTTCTGTAATCCTATGTTTACTCAATCTTAACAACGATTTAGTTCCATGCATAGTTTTGATTTATCATGCTAGATCAATTGAAGGATCAAATACTGCTGAAGGATCAATCGATTTCATATTTTACACTTTATTATATCATATCCAAAGCCTTGATTAGCTCCTAAAGCAATAATAATTACAGTGTAGAAGTTGTATATTTCCCCCAGTACATCAATTCTTTTTGAAATTGAAGAAACGTTTCAAGGACGAAAATACTTCGCCATGAAAAATACGATGTTAGAATGACAAAGCCTCGTCAGTCATTAATATAAGGTATGTTTTATTTCAAAGGGGAAAACTACCTGGGTTACATTGAACTTAAGATTTCCCTTTGATGTAACAGTGAGCACTCTGTTACAATGTTTCAATACCCCATTGGAAATGTCATCAAAGTTCATAGTTAAATCATTTCCCATAAGGTTTATTTTTGAAAACTACTTTTTTCTTATGTGGAAGATTTAACAAAAACACTAATTTTTTGATTTTATAAAAGGCAACTTCACAACAAACAATCAACCAATCATGTTGAAATCTTACAACTTGTTAATATATTAGAGAGATTTCGCACTCACTTTAGCGCATGTTAATTATTCCCGAATAACGAGCATAACGTATAACTTAGGCGTTAACTATACTTCCATAAGTGTGATATTCTTCATCGCCGCCTAGGTGTTACTACGGTATTACTTCCGTGTTTTTTAATACTTGAAAAACGAAGCCATGCCAACTTCAATGGTGTGTATAGTAGGCTTAAGTGCCCATTAAGTGGCCATTTGAGGTATGTATGCAAAGCTGAGCGTAAGTACTTTCTAAATATACCATTCTTAGAAAAAAAATCGCAAGAATAAAGTCCAAACTGGAACTACAATATTCATTTGATTTTTATCGGTGAAGCAGGGATTTTACCTAAAAATGAGTCCCTACGGTGGCGTAGCGATATTTAAAAATCGAGATGCAAACCCTATGATAAATATAGTGTCAAGATGAAGTTTATGTATAGGGGAACGCATAAATATAGTCATTGTATGGGCCAATTCGTTCGAAAATGGCGATATATACTCCAGAACTTGAATTTTGTGAATTTTTTCAATATTTTTCAATGAATTACCGTAGTGACACCTCTATATGTAAGACTATCACACTTATGCCAGAGCTGCGCAATAATTGATAACATAATCAAACGCTTCTTAAGTTATACGTTATGCTCGTTATACGGGAATAATAAACATGCGCTATAAGTGAGTTGCGAAATCTCTCTAATATATCAACAAGTTGTAAGATTTCAACATGATTGGTTGATTGTTAGTTGTGAAGTTCGCTGTTATAAAATCAAATCGAGTGTTTCTGTCAAAACCTCCCAATCCATCTTAGAAAAATAAGCAGTATTCAAAAATAAACGCCATGGGAATAATGATTGCACGTCCGTGAAGTTCGTAAAACAACCTAAGTAAAGTTTAACTACGTTCGCACTGTGCGAGAGGGTAAACAGCCATCAATACACCTTGGCCTACAAAACAACAAATTAATATTTACAAAATTTCATACCATATAAGACTGAGAACGGTTACAACTTTCTTCCTTGTGTGGTTTCTTTTGTAATGAAGCGTCCATGATACCGACCAATAGCGATCCACGGATATAGCAACTAGAGTAAACACAGAGGCAAACGTCATGGCGAAATCGAATAATATCCACAGGCCACATACCACCTCTCCAAAGGGCCACCAACCCAGGACTGTGTCAATGATGTAGAAGCTCATTGCTGTCACGGCGATTGTGACATCGGTTATAGCAAGGTTTACGATAAAACAGTTAAACGGTGTCCGAAGTTTCTTGTCAATTGCCACTGCAATTAGCACGCAAATGTTTCCAATTATTGTGACAAGCGTCACCAATGATAAAAAAACAGCCAATATAATTTGATCGACTCCAAGTTGCGCTGGGACATATACATGTTCTGTCTTGTTTGTTGTTGTTTCGTTAGTAGAAACTAAAGGATTGAAAGTTGAGTTTGTCCGCTCCATATCAACTGGTATTGTAGTATTCGTTTCATTAATGTGAACAAAAAACATTTTTCATTCTGCTGAGCTTTAAGATCCAGTAATTAGCTAAGTATTTATAATCTTGCCTAATATGAAGCAATAAATAAAGCTAAAGTCTGAGTTTATGTGAGAAAGTAACTAGCTATTCGACGGAAATCTCCACGTTCGATAAGTCAACTTCTATGGTTTCATGTAGCGTTGAAATAGATCAGTAGTCTTTGACAGGTATTCTCATATATCGTTGTTCTGTAGCTGAAAAATAATATTGCATTCACAGTTTTGCCTTTTTATGAGGCGTATAATAACAGGACCACGCCTGATTGGCTCTAATCAGATGATACAGCCATGAGATAATCATCATATATTTCCTCCCACATCACCAGATTTATTGTGATATATATTAACGGCAACACTCACTATAAATATACTACATATATTTTGTATACTATTTCACAATATAATATTGATCTATTGGCATAATAAATGAATAATATGCAGATACCATCAAATTATATTTTCAGAGATTTCAAAAAAGAACACTAGGAATGACTATAGCAACAATCCAAGTCAACAATTTATTTTCTAAATGGAATGGATGCCCAGGAATGGATGTAAAAATTATATTTTATTCATCAGACGGCCCTTCGGTTCTTTATGCAACCACTATAAGTCGTAAAATGTTATAACGTCACCAACTTGTGTTACAGTGGACGTTGTCCAGCGGTTGGTGTTCGGTGTTCGGTGTTGAGCTCGGCGGTCGGCGTCTGTAACAAATGGCAGGTGGTGACATTTTACATGTTAACACCTTGCCGACTTTCCTTAGTAACTAGAGCCTTAGAGTAAAACTTTTGGGTTCTTAGGTTCTGTGTGATCCAGTAGATGGGATATGAAATTAGTTACTTCTGTATTTTTTTACAGTTATGGTATACGGGTAGCCAAAAGTATCTATGAAAATGATAGAACATTTTCTTTCAGACATCCGGCTCGATTACTACATATTTTACTAGGTCAAAAGGTCAAACTTGTCGAGGTAATTAATTATTGTCAAATAGGTCGAAATCAAAGTTCTTCGAAATGCTTGATATTAGAATCAAATCAATTGGGAATTTTCTCAGTATTCAGATTCTGAAATCACAATTATGTCTTCCAAATTCGATTCATTGTTTCTACGAACACTTTCTTTTGAAACCCTAAAATAAGAAACATTTACAACTTTATAATCACAGCTTAAACATTTTCTGGCAATATTAGAGAGATTTCGCAACTCACTCATAGCATGTTTATAATTATTCCCGTATAAACCAAGGAGGATTGGAAGCCAGGGTTCCAACTCGATATTCTTTAATCTCCACGCATGCGTCATTTGCTATTCGTGTCTGTATAATTTGTACGACTGCATGGAGAATGACCCGATACTCTCCAACAAAGCTATCGCTAGGTGATTATTTTGCAGAATATCGGTGTTGCATTCTGGGAGCCAATCCTCCTTGCGTATAAACCGTATAACTTACGGAGCATTTGATTACGTCATCATTTATTGCGCCCCCATCGGTGTGATATCCTTACGTAGGGGAGAGCGGGGTAAGACTGAACGAGGGCTAAGACGGAACAATGGCTTTTAAAGATGTTTAAACTGTTTAAAAATGGTCGCTGAAGTTAACTTTTTGAAAATATATCACGTAATCTTCCTATTCAACCGCCAATTTCTCGTCGGCTGCAACTAATATTTTTATAAGGGTTGGTATCATTTTTTATTCATTCTTATAACATTTCCTCAGGTTTTTAGTCGCCTGTAGAATCAAAATCTTACGTGTAACGTGAACGATCGTTCCGTCTTACACCATTTTCATTCTCAAGGTCAAGATCATTCCAAGGTCAAAGGTCAATATCTAGGTATTTGGTGATTTAATTAAGGTCATTTGGGTTGGTGTGAACCTCGGTGACTCATGATTAAGTGAACTGAGGTCATGGTCATTCCAAGGTCAAACATCAGTATCTAAGTATTCTACTTTTTAATACCTAGGAGGCTGCTGTGACCCTCGATTACGCTGGTTACCAAAACGGTTCGTTTCGGTAACAAAATGTCAAAACGTCGAAGGTACATGTACGATTTTTCTTTTTTTTTCTTATTTCACGCGTTGTAGGCAGAATCCCCACGACGTTTTTTCGTAACATATGTTTTAGAAAATGTACATGTTTGCGCGAAAAAATAGCTCAGAAGACAACAGAATCGTCGATTTAATTCCTCATTTAAGTTACATGAACGGTGTGGGTTAGAAGTGCAGATCTTAACTGTTTTTCGTACCCTCGATGTTCCGATATTTTGTTACCGAAACGGACGTAATCGAGTGGATCACCAGTGATTGTACCATTTTTCCATGGGTAGCAATTAGTGCTTCCTGGAAGATCGTTCCATATTGGTTATGGTACGAAAACTCGTATGCTATTGAATAAAAGTATATGGAAAAACATCAAATCGGAGCATTTTATTTAGATTTCCTTCAGATAATACCAACCATTCTGTCTCACCCCACCTGTTCCGTCTTACCCCACTCCTGGTAAAGTTGACCTTGTTGACACGGTAGACGGTTTTGGTATGAAATAATCTGTATATATAAATTAATTTTAAAATCATTTTCAGTACTTCTGCTTTGTAAAATAGTATAAAAAGTGTCAAAGAAACCCATGTTTAATGTACAGTAGGCTATTAAGATAGGTGTGGATTTTCGTTCCGTCTTCCCCCCTCCCCCTCTCATACTATAGACGACGATTCAAGGGCTTATTTATAAGAACATCACACTGGACAAGAAGAGGGAAACACCCAGAGCACAAATATTACGTCTCTTGCGTACCACCTTCGTTTTGCGCAAATTCGACCAGTTATTTTTTGAATATGATAACAAGTCATTGTGATGTCGACGTCTTAATCGATGTAACATATTCCTTACATCTTTCTTTACATGTATCTTGTTGTGAAATAACAAGCGAGCTATGATATTGGTATACACGCAAGAGCATGAAATTATTCGAAGCCTTTTATTATAACATTTTTAATTCATCATTTTCGTTTGTCGATTTGGACCAATCATGGCTTCATCTCAATACAGATTAACATTATAGACGTAAGGGAACATGGGGCAAAATGGCCTTGTATGGCAAAATAGCTCACCGAGATATCTTTTGAACTGTAAAAAGATGGTTCTTCAAAAGTCACTTAATCGAATTTTGGAATTTCCGCCACCTTCTCGACAGCCCTTTTTATCCTAGCAGCGTTTCGCCTTAAGTAATTCTACTTCTCACTCTCTTTTTGCAAAAAATCTGACAACAATAGAATATCGTTTTGAATTAACATTTTACACATTTATTCATCACTGTTTTGGTGGGGCCGTTTTTCCCCTTCCGTGGACCGCTTCCACCCCGTATGGAACAACTTAAAATTCAATTTTGCGGGCCGTTTTGCCCAATGTTCCCTTACGTCATCTTTGAACACTGGGGTTTACCCCCCTCTTCAGTCCATCAGTGTGATATTCTTACATATATAGACGACGAATCAAGGGCTTATCAATGAAGAATATCATACTTATGGACGTACTGTATATAGTGTTGCGCAATAAATGACGATGTAATCAAACACTCCTCTATTTATAATTACTACAAATGACAATTTCAATCAAATTAAGAAAATGCTTTCTCAGTGTGATAGCATAGCTTTGGAAACTGCCCCTATCACGACTCGACATTGCTTTACAATCACAATTACCAATCACTGGCTGTGACAACAATTTAATGCGAAAATTATTTAGAAATATTTTATATTACAGTATTTGTTAACATTTTTTGTTTTTAGTGCAGTTGTTTTTGCTCCTTTCACCAATTCTTTAAGAATGAAATAAAATGTCTTTCCGAACCTTGTTGGAACAAAATAGCATATACAACATGTTTTTAGACCTCTCAATATTATAGTTACACAAAGGAATTTTTGGTTGATTTTAAAAAAGTATTCAAAAAATTAAAACAAAATCCCCAAAATAGAACTTTTGAACACACGTTTCTCTTAAACCAGTTATTAAAAAAATCTAAAAATTTAACACATCGTCAATTCGTCATATTTTGAATGGTAACAATATAATTTGAAATATATATAATATACTTCCATCTACCGTATATTGTTTTAGAAAACACATCAAACACTAAGTCTTGTTTTGTTCCTGGTATCATGTTTCCAGAGTGAAATAAAATATCTTTCCGAACCCCACTAGAACAAAACGACATAAACACAACATGTTTAAGTCTCTTAATATTTGCATTTGTACAAAGGAAATGTTGGTTGATTTTAAAAAAGTATCTTGTTAATGAAATAAAAGGTTTATCTTGATTTTTATCTATTTTGGGGGGATTTTGTTTTAATTTTTGAATACTTTTTTAATATCAACCTAAAATTCCTTTATATAACTATAATATTGAAAGGTCAAAAAACCTGTTGTATATGCTATTTTGTTCCAACAAGGTTCGGAAAGACATTTTATCTCATTCTCAAGAATTGGTAGAAAGGAGCAAAAACAATTGCACTAAAAAACAAGAAATGTTAACAAAAGCAGTTATATAAAGTGTTTCTAAATGATTTTCGCATTAAATTGTTGTCAATCAGACAACATTTCATGAGATATAAAATAGTGTTTTTTACAGAAATTTTCCATCGATTGGTTTAAGAGAAAAACATTGCCGAATTCAGTTCTCCATATCGATACCACTCCTTTCTAAACTTAAACGTAAATATTTTTCCCTAAAAAATGTTGATTTGTAGATAAATACGTGTTTATGATTTGCCTAGAAAACTCCATATAAATGTTGTCTTCATCAAAAGCTTGAATTCTGATCTGACAAATCTAATATTCCATATTTATGAGCAACAGTGTATATTTCATAATAGACGAGTAGGAATTCAGAAATAAATTAAGTGTACTATCTAAGTGTTTTGGGAGGGATGAAGGAGACGCCCTTCCTCAAAGTCTCAAAGGTTGCACTTTTAAAAAAATATAACATTCCCTGCTAGAAACAAGAATTACCGTAACAATAGGCTGCCATAATAAAAAACAATAGATGAATACATGACATTAACAATATTTTGAGTTCAATCTTAAATCAGATTTAAATTTCTGAGAAGTTGTGGATGATTTTGAAAAAATAAATAGGTCAATTTGAAGCAAGTTGAAAATACCTTTTTCGACTCTGAGAAGGTCATTGCAGGTGAAATC